TCCTCCTCCTCCCTCCTCTCCTCCTCCTCCTCCTCCTCCTCCTCCTTCCTCCTCCTCCTCCTCCCTCATCCTCCTCCTCCCCTCCTCCTCCTACCTCCTCCTTCCCCTCCCCCTCCTCCTCCTCCTCTCTGCTTCCTCTTCCTCCTCCTCCCCTCCCTCTCCTCCTCCCCTCCTTCCTCCCCTCCTTTCTCTCCTTCCTCCTCCTCCTCCTCCTCCTCCTCCTCCTCCTCCTGCTCCTCCTCCGCCTCCTCCTCCCTCCTCCCTCCTCCCTCCTCCCTCCTCCCTCCTCCCTCCTCCTCCTCCTCCTCCTCCGCCTTTCCGCCCCGCGGCCGCTCGGCTCCGACGGCGGCGCTGGGCGCGGGCGGGACCCCGCGGCTCGAGCCCGCGAGGCGGCAGGGGCGCAGGGGAGCAGGCGGGGAAGGTTGGCAGGCGGGGGGGGGGGGGAGCAGGCGGGGAGGGCAGGACGAGAACGAGGACGAGAAGGACGAGGACGAAGCGCGCGGCGGGAGCCGGCGGGGAAGGGTGGCAGGCGGGGGAGGCGGGCGGGGGGGGGAGCAGGCGGGGAGGCAGGCGGCCCCGACCCCCTCGAGCTTGTGAGAAGAAAAAGTCGCGGCGGGAGGTCTTTCGCTGTCTTCGGCCTCCGGGGGCCCTCGCCAGGCCGCGGGGCCGAAGAGCAGCTCAGGATGAAAAACCGGTCCCAGGGAAGGGGTCCAAACCTCTGGGGGTCGACGTTTTGAACAAGAACCACCACGACGTCGGGAGCCTGGGGGGGAAAGGTGGCAGGCGGGAGCGGGCGGGAGGGCGGAAGGGACCAGGCGGGGAAGGGTGGCGGGCGGTCAGCAGGCGGAGGAAGGCGGCAGGCGGGCAGGGAGAGGTGGCAAGCGGAATGGGGGAGGGGGGGGGGAGAGCGGGGATCGGTTGCACATGGGGTGAATCTATACGCATGTCGGCAGAGGCGAGCTGTTGCGTGTGCGTGAGGTCGTCCCCCTTGCACTCGGCTAACTCGCTTGTTTTTGTCCATCAGTTGCTCGTCGGAGGATCCAATGTCTTGCGCGGGGGAGAGGGGGGGAGGAGAGCGGGGAGCGGGGACGCGCGGCCGATGCGGCGTCCCCCTGCCTCTCTCTCCTCCGGGTTGGTTCCCGTGCTCGCCCTCCCGCCGCCCCGACGGTGGGCACCGCTGTGACCTCGGCGCGCACCGACACGAGCCTGCCCGCCGCGTCGGGCTTCGAGCGGGGGCGGGGAGGCCCGGGGTCGAAGGGACGAGCCCAGAGATCCGAGGACCTGATGGTTCCAATGCGTCGTGTTTGTTCCGGGGTTTCGGCGACATGTTCTTAGAACACGTCTGGCTTAAAAAAAACGGGTTTATGTTCTAAGAACATTGTTTTTGTTGTTAGAACATTCTTGGGTTCTAAGAACATGTCGTGGTAGGACTGTAGGAATGCCGGGACGGTCGGCCCGTGATCGGGCCCAGGGGCCATCAAACATGGATCCAGGACGGAGAACCACCCCCGGGGACGGCGTCGGGACCTCGGGGGCCGCGGACTGAACAAGTCATACGTGTCGGCAGAGGTCTGTGACGACATGGCTTTTCAGCGACGGGTCGCATCTCCGTGCAGAAGTGGCGGGCTCCGTGGCCAAGTAGCGCGGCACGTGCTTCATGCTCCCGCGGGCGAGTTTCCCCGTCCCGGGGAGATTTGGCGCCCGCGCGCCAGATCCTCGGGCCCCTGTAGTCAACCCGCTAAAAGGAAGGACGAGCGACGTTCCACGGCTGCCCTTGCATCCTGCCCTCCGGAGGCAGTCTCCTCCTCCTCTTCCTGCTCCTGCTCCTCCTCCTCCTCCTCCTGGTCCTCCTCCTCCTCCAAAATTGTTCAATCTGTATACTACTCTCCCCTCTCCCCTGTTGACGTCCAGGAACCGGGAAATGTCCGGCCCTCCTCAACGTATAGTTTTCACACACGATTCCCGGGAGTTGGATTTTCGCTTGGGCTTGTTTTTCAAAATGTTGCTCTCGCTGATGCGCTGACATCATTTTCGGGCTGCCGCTCGTTCCGAATCGTACTCCCGCTGCAGCGCTGGCCTCATTTCCGCGGTTCCGCTCGTTCCGAATCGTGCTCCCGCTGCAGCGTTGGCGTCATTATTTCCAGCGCCATTTCATGGCATGGTTTCCGGTCTCTCCAAATAGGCCCTAAAGTCTAGAACATTGCCCCCCGAAAAAACCATCGGAAATGAATACGCATTCGATGCAAATTCGTTGATGTTGGGGGCCGCAGCCCCCCACTACTTGGGGGCTTCGCCACGCCATGATATGTCAGGCTACGCGTCCTCCGAATCTCGTTCCCGCTGCAGCGCTTGCCTCATTTCAGCGATTCCGCTCGTTCCGAATCTTGCTCCCGCTGAAGCGTTGGCGTCATTATTGCCAGTGCCATGCCACGGCATGGTTTTCGGTCCTTCCAATAAGGGCCCATCTTAAAGATAGCCCCCCGAAAATACCATCGGAAGTGATTACACATTCGGTGTCGATCCGTTGAATTTTTGGCCGTATAAGCCCCCCTGGGGACCGTAAAAAACGATCCAGCTGGAAAACGCCGATCCGACTTGACCCCGTGAGCGGTCCAGGGGCCCATTGCGAGCCGTTTGTTCAAAGAAGCCAGACCATCGAGCCTGGCAGCCCGCCATACGATTGCCTGGCATCCGTCCTCGCCCGCCGCAGCTTCCCCCGCCGCCGCCGTCGTCGTCTGCGTCGTTGTCTCCGTCGACAATTCCTGTGCGTTCCCTGGATATTCCGGAATTCTTCGGGCCATCCGCCACGCCTCGTGCAGAGCTGTCCGGGGAGCCCAGAGAGATTTGGAAGGGGCTCGGGGAAAGCAAGGCAGCGTGTCGAAAGGAAGGGGGGACCTCACGCTATTACAGTGCCCCCTACCAGACGGCACTTCGCATTCGAAAGCGCCCACATCGGGCAGGCTCGTTTGCGCAGGACATGGAGCCGGGATTCCAGACAGGCTTTCTCCCTTCGTACACAGGCCATAAGGCATTCAGTGCCATGCCATGGCATGCAACGTGATGTTGCGTTGTGCTCCTTTGTGTGATGCTACGTTTGGAGATGCCACGCTTTGTGATGCATTGATACACTACGCAAAATCAAGCCATGCTATGACATGCACTGCTCTGCCGCGCTCTTCTACTCCATGCTGTGCCGTGCTTTTCCATGCATCACAAACCCTCTCGGGATCATTGGCTTGCTCGACATCAGCCTGTGCGCATAAAGAGGAGACCTGCGCCATGGTAAGGGTTGGGCCTCCCCCCCTTCGGCCCATCCTTGGCCGCCTTCGCTGGCCGCGCCCCGCCCGCAAAGTGCCCACGTGGCCTTCCAAGGCCCTTGCATCCTTGTCGTGCGTCCTTCTTATACGGGTTGATTGGAATCCATGGTAGCGTGTGCCCGAGGGAGGCCAGTGGAGCGGGAAGGTGGGCTGAGGTCGGAGGGGACCCTGGCGGGGAGGGGAGGGGCTGCCGATGGCCGCGCCCCCGGGCGACGGCAGTCCTGAGGGTCCCGCCCGGCGGGATCCAGCCGCACCCCCGGCGGGCTGCGGAGGGGCCTATGCCGGCTTCTTCCACGGGCTGAGAGAACGCCTGGCCGGTCCACGAGACCTGGTGCTCCCTTGGGCGTCGAGCAATGGTGGGCGATAAGTGGGGGGCCAGCACGGGCTGCAGACAAGAGGCCCTCTAGGGCCCCTCAAGGGTCCCTTCAGTGCCCCATAGGGGCCTTTCATCAGAGCGTGAATTACCTACCCCGCTTTCGCTTCCAGGCAAAACCAAGCCATACCACGCGCCTCCTCGTCAAGCGGCCTGACCAGTACAGGCTGCAATTTGGCATCGTTTGGTATCTCTTGGAAGCGAGGGTGGTCAAAAGCGAGGTAGGTTTGTTTTCCCCCTATTTCAGGCCTACAAGTGCACCTTTATTCCCCCCCCACCCCCCATGCATCGCCCTCCCATTCAACGACGCCCAACTCCCCACCGCTCCGCATCTGTTCTCTCGCCCCCAAGCGACAGGTCCACGACAGGAGTGCTCGACCCCGCCTGGGGCTCGGGCGAGCCTCACGGATGGGTTCCAGCTCGAGACGTTTTGCAGAGGCATGTTCTCCAGGGCTCGGATGGTGTTTTTTTTTTTGTTCGACGTCGTCATTGATCTATAGATTCGGCCGAAAGTTTGAGCCAGTCCGCCTGCGCCTCTGCCCCCTTATCTTCCCCTCCCCTTCCCTCCTTCTCCCTCCTTTTCCATTACCTTCCCTCCTTTTGCTTCCCTCCTTTTCCCTTCCCTTCCCCTTACCTTCCCCTCCCCTTCCCCTTACCTTCCCTCCTTTGCCCCAGAGCGTACCATGCATCAAATGCGGGTACGGACCTAGCATGGACGGGTGGACGTACGACGCATCACGGTGGCGGAGTTCAGGCATGTCTTGCGGAGCTCGGGAGCCCTTCCCACCTGACCGTTCTTGCCTCTGTCTCCCCCCAGACTCTCCTTTTCCCCCTCCCCCTCCCGCTGCCCCCTCCCCCCTCCCCGTCCCCCGTGCCTCGGGCCCAAGGCCAAGGGGCGCTCGAGAGCCATCGCACAGACCTCGGAGGCGCGAGGAGCTCCCTGTCAGGGGCGCGGCCGGCGCCCACCCCCCTCGGAAGCCCTGTCTGCAGCCTGCAAGTGAGGGGATAAAACGACGCGAAGATCGGGACAGAATCGGATCGGGACAACTCGAACTCTCTGAGAATCGGCGGGTTTGGAGGATGTATTGGGCGCCGCGGCCGCTCCAGAGCGTTCCGGAACGCTCTGAGAGCGCTCCGGAACGCTCTGGAGCGATTTATCCCGATCCTAGCCCTGTTTTAGGGGAGGGGGAGGGGCGGGGGGAACCTCCAGATCTCGTTGGCCACCGGAGTTGTGCGCGGTGGGCGGCAGCGATGTTGGCGGCAGCAACGCGTCTTGCTTGCCCGCGCGCGTCTCCGACCCGCTGGTTCGCATGGCCAGCGAGCTTGTGGAGGCCGAAGAGGCAGCGGCCGAGGCTGGCGATGGGGCCTTCTTCCCAGAGGGGGGTCCGGGGTGCCATTCTCGCTTTTTCCGTGAACAGCGGCGGCGGCATCGGCAGGAGAGAAAGAAGGCGGAATAGAAGGAAGAGGAGGCTGAGAAAGAGGGTCGGAGGAGGGCGAAGGAGAACGGATGGGAACAGGGAGCAGCTGAAGAACAGCATCCGAGTCGAACCATGGCCTGCAAGCAAGGAGGCAGCAGCCTCAGAACGGGGAGCAGAGGGCCGCTGGGCCGCTCGACCGGCAGAGGCCGAAGGAGCCCGAGGCGGGCCGCTGCACGCCCGCCAGCGGGGCGCGCGGCCAGCGAGCCCAGCGATCAGGCGCCACCGCTGCACTGACGAGGCCTCGCCCGGCCACAGAGCCCCCCCGCCACAGGGGGGGGCCTCAGCGAGGCGCCGCGCACCGCACCCTCTGCAAGAAAGGCACAGGCCCGCAGGCCGGACGGTGCGGCGCTCGTGCCCGAGAGGGGTCCCCGAGCCCGCGCCTGCCCCCGAGGCCGTCGCGCGTGGCACGCGGGGCCTCGAAGGCACGCCAAACGGCACCACGTCGCGCGCCGGGGAGGGGTCCCCCCGTGCCCTCCCGCACGAGCACAAGAAGGATGCGCGCCAGTCGGTGAGAGTGCACCGAAGGTATTTCTTGGTACCCAGATCCCAATACATATATATATATATATATATATATACGTGGCGCCTTCGTGCTTCAAGGATCGACTGGCTTCCTTCTTCTCTCCTCTTCAGGCGGCGGGCCGAAGTCGGATCTGCTTCCAGCGCCTTCCTACTGAATGTTTCGACCCACTTCTTCCGACCTGCGTGTAAAGGTGGAGATGGGAGGGCTGGTGCGTCATGCCAGGCTGCTCGAGCTTCGCACGCGACAAGGCAGTCTGTGCCGAGCAGTGTAACCACGTGCATCGGACCCCCCATCCTTCCACCACCTCCAGGTGGTGAGAAAACAATGCGAGTCTGGGCCGCGTCATGTCTCTTCGCCTCGGAGCCTGGCTTGAACCTTCAGCCTGACTCGCAACACGCTGGGCAGCTCTAGATATGAAGTCACAGGTCTGCTCGGCATCCTTCAACTGACCTCTCCAGACCGTGACCAAACCCTCGGACACCTGCGCTGGGTTTCGCAGAAAGGTCGGCCCGCAGGTTGCCGAAGAAATCCAGGACCCTGGACGGATCTCGACCCGAGCTCGAGGCATCCAGATCACATAGAATGCAGTCGAGGTCTCCGTGCGCGGGAGCCCACCTCAACGAAGGGCGTCGACCGCCGTCAGAAACACTCTAGCGCAACCGAACCATTTCTCTCCAGACACTAGCATGACGGCCGCGTCCGTCAGCAAGGAACATGGACCACTCATTGCTTTCTCCGACGGCGGTTGGCGGCGGACAGATGGTCATTCACTATCTCAGCCCCAAGAGGCCCGACCTTCAAAGCCTCCAGGACGGCCTGATGCTCGGCCCTTGGCACCGTCTGGCACTTGCCCGCAAGGGCCCCGTGAATCGCGCACACACACAACACACACACAACACACACACACACAACACACACACAACACAACACACACACAAAACGCACACACAACACACACAACACACAACACACACAACACACACACACACAACACACACACAACACACACAACACACACACACACACACACGCAACACACACACAATACACACAACACACACACAACACACACACACACAACACACACAACACACAACACACACACACACACAACGCACACAACACATACAACACACACAGGCCAGTCCGAGGGACAACTTGCCACCACAGACCACCCTCATCTAGTCGCCTCGGGAACGCCGTTGGCTAAGCCTGACCCGTCAGGAAAAGGTTGGAAGCCCCATTGGCGATGCACCGCACCCCAAAAGAAGACTTGAAGCTTGGCTGGGACAAGGCGGATCTCGCATGGGGAGAAGAGGGACCCCGCTCGCCAACGCCAACGTATCGAAATCAGGAGGGAAGCCTCGGGCCCTGTCGATCAGCCTGCCCTTGTGATCGAGGCAATCGCCAGGAATCGCATGACACTCGTCAAGGTCCACAGGCGCCTCCCAGATATTGGCACAGCCGTACCACTGGTGGCCTAGAGGTCACTCGACCCTTATACAACACACAACTTGCTCTCACTGTACCCGTGCTGAAACTTACGCGCTGGTAGCCAAAACCTAGTTCCTTAAGAGGCCCTCAGCGTGCCTTGTCGGACTGTGTCTTTGAGCATGAGAGCGCTGATTATCAAAGCACGTCCCAACACAGACTCACCTCCAGAGGCCTCAGTGATCCCCGCCAGAATGTGGTCAGCCTCAGCGCGGTGTAACCCGTCGCGCAGCCCTTCGCTCGGAGATCGCACGGGCTAGTGGTGAACTGTCCCTTTGGTCCGTTCTCAGCTGGTGGTGGGCCACAAACTTCTACAGTGGAAACCCATGCCAAGAAACACCCTGCTTGCCTCCAGGGTGCCCTGGGTTTCTTGGGTTTCGATGGTCTTTCGATTCAGCGCGTGACTCAGGGTTGGGTTTCTTGTGGAATGCGTCTTGTCGTCGAGCTCCTACTGTATCCGACTCTCAGCACCGAGAAATGTGCAGCAGCAAGTTGTCCTGTGACTTTACTCCAACCAGACTACTCGCGCAAATAGTCTTTTGCATGTCGCCAAGGCAGAATAAGACCTGAGTCTGGTGAACGCTTGTCCCAGACCTAGCAGCAGTATTTAAAAAGACACGGAACAGTGACATCGCCTATGGTGTCAAAGTTGGGGTCTTTATGGGTGAACAAGTACGACGTCAAATTGCACTACCCGTTCACCCCTATAAAGCTCCAAGCAAAATCCGGAGCGTCTCCTTAGTCATTCCTGAAACCGTAGCCCCGTGGCATGTACCGGGCATCAAGCACGTCCTCCAAAGCGGAGCCGTTTTCCCCCCAGCAGTCTTCCTAAGGAATTGGATCCTGGATTTGCGGGCAACTGAAGCGGTCCTACGCTTAAATTCCATGGTTCTGATGACCTTTCGGCCGTACGGTTGTGGCCAATGTTACGCAGGTGTTTCCTACCACGCATTCCTTTGATCCTCGCACACGAAGCAATATTCTTCTCAACAGCAATAGTTGTAGCAGCATGGCCAGACTTGTTGAGTTGCAGCAGCAGCAGCAGCCCTACTGGCTTCACATTTTTACACAATCCTTGGCCGGCGTTAAAACAACTTGGCCTGATCTCCTGGGTGCCGGCTTGTTCCAGTGCAGGGAAACGTTGTCCATGAGGACTCGACCTTGACCAGGGTATCTGGACACCAAATTCTGCATTGGTTTCAGATTACCGCGAACATTATCGAGCTGTCCGCCGAGCAGCCAGCTAGGAGACCTTAGAACGTCACACAACTTTCTGAGAGCGAACCGAAAGCATCGGGGTGGCATGTGGGTCTGGATGACCATCTAACCCAAACGAAGCGGAGATCCGTTCTGCCTAAGGATCAGAGAAAAGTCCGACAGCCTATTCAGCGTGTGGCTTTTTATCAGATCAAGAACAAGAACTTTGACGGAATGCCATCCTGTGGGGCTGGCAGCCTCAATTGAGAGGTTCAAGTCGAACGCAGCATCATTCGAATTACTCCCCCTCCCAGCTCCCCCAGATATCCCCGTCCTACGCGTGGTTTCCCAAGCTTCAAAAAGGGGCCGTCTGATTCCCCCCCCCTGATTTCCCCCCACACACAATCTCAGAATGATGTCCATGAGCGCGATCAGTCTGCGACCACACTAATCTGCCTTGGCGAGCCGCACCTGCGATATGGCCAGCAAAGCGGCCTTTCACTCTGCATCAGAAGTGTCGCCAGCATCCCAAGCATGTCGTCTGAGAGATACTGCAATGACCGCTGGTACAACTTTAAAGATCCGGTGGCCGTCTTACCGGGAAGTTCGGCAATCGCACATCTTCAATCCTGAACCACAGTCTTGGGGAGGGGCTCCCAAGACATAGCATCAGGAGGAATTTCGGGCTTCTCGTTCCTGCGGGTGGTCCAGATGTTGGCCCACCCCATGCAACAGTTATCTGCTACCTGATACGGCTGCATTCTGCAGTCCTCTGCTAAGATCCACGTCTGCCAAGCAGTTTCTTTGCTGGCCAAAAACTCGGCATAGATTCCCTGAGCCCGCTCCAGCATGTGATCCACCGACTCTGAAAACGCTGGGTCCCCTTTGACCGAGGTGCCAGAACGAACAAAAGTTGCAGTCAGATCGTCAAGGTGTCCGTCCGAGCACCCACTCGCGCGTCATGATCTTCTGTAGGAAGTTGCTGACATCGGAAGACTCGGCAACCCTGCGAATCCTCTTGGGTTGCTCTTCAGACTCAGACAATCTCGGAAGACGAAGGATGACGGTTGGAGGATGACGACGAAGGAGTACTTGAAGCAGCAGGATGAGCGCCGGCTTCCTTTTCTGAAGCGTTCTCTCCTCACCTTACGACATCCCATTGCTCGCCAACTTCTGGCCGCGAAATCGCCGAGCGAATACGAGAGGGAGCCTCGCTGGACGTAGGGCCCTCCTTGATTCGACCGGCGTGATGACGCCTGGTTCTGCCCGCGCGCGGCATCCACCGATAGCCCATCCCCGCAGGGACAACCACCCCCTCCGCGGGTGGGGTGCGATTCGGTCGACGCGATGTGCAGGCGATGCGATCGAGCTGCGACGTACAGTGGAGGCCCATGCCAAGAAACACCCTGCTTGCCTCCAGGGTGCCCTGGGTTTCTTGTGGAAGGTTTCTCGTGGTCGGGCCTCCACCAGGGGGGGGGGGCTCGACCACAAGAAGCCTTCCACAAGAAACCCAACCCTGAGACTCCAGGACTTCCATCGATGTTTGGTGTGCGAACGTCACGCTCTCCGCCACAAAACCATCGGAACCCAAGAAACCCAGGGCACCCTGGAGGCAAGCGGGGTGCTTCTTAGCATGGGCCTTCCCTGTGAGGGCAGCCTCTGGACAGCCGTCGGACCCCCCTCTGGCAGTCACCCGAGACGGCGGCTGCCGCGGCGGGCTGCAGACGGCGCTCACGGTGCTGGCGCGCCCGCTGGCGCACACGGCGCGCGGGCTGTGGGCGGCCCGGATGGCGTTCATGCTCGCGGGGCGCGAGTGCTGGCCGACCTTCGGCCAGGTCCTCTTCCTCGTGCTCCCCGTATCTGCTTTATCCGTCCCTCCCTCCTTCCTCCCTCCTCCTCCTCCCTCATCCTTTTCCTTCTTATCCTTCTAATCCCTTGTCCTGCTCATCTTCCGCGCCTGTCTCTCTCTCTGTCTGTCTGTCTCTCTCTCTCTCTCTCTCTCTCTCTCTCTCTTTTCTCTCTCTCTCTCTCTCTCTCTCTCTCCTGTGTTTTTTGTTTTCTCTCTCTCTCTTGTTTTTTTGTTTTCTCTCTCTCTCTCTCTCTTTCTCTCTCTCTCTCTCTCTCTTTCTCTCTCTCTCTCTCTCTCTCTCCCTCTCTCTCTCTCTCTCTATATCTCTCTCTATCCCACTGTCTATGTGTATATACATGTGCGTGCGTGTGTAGATGTGCATATATATACACATATACACATGTGAATGTATATCTATATGTGTATATAATGGCCCTCGGCCCATCCCGCCACAGTCCCTCGGTTGTGGGCATGAAGCGTATTGGATATTCGTTGGTGTCTTGTGGGGGGCCTTCGGGGGCCTCCTGGACGCAGTTTTGAAGCCTCCTGGGGGCCGTTTTGGGGGCCCGGTTTGGGGACCCCTTTTGGGCCCATTGGGAGCCGCTTGGGGCCTCTTGGGGGAATCTTGGGGGCCGCTCGGGGCCTCCGGGGGGCCTCCTGGGGCCTCTTGGGGGCCTCTTGGGGCGGAAGGCGCGGAGTTTCGGTTCGTGCTTGATCTTTTGGGCCCCTTCTGGGGCCGTCTTGGGGCCCTCTTGGGCTGTCGTTGGCGCCTCGTGGGCCGTCTTCGGGCGCTCTTAGGCCGTCTTGGGGCCATCTCGGGGGCTTCTTCGGCCGTTGGGCAATGGTTTGGGGGGCCTCTGGGCCGTCTTGGAGCGTCGCAAAGCCGAAAATTCTAGAACGCCAAAATGCCCCAAAAACAGGCGGACGAGCAATCATGTGTGCCTCTTGGGAGGCCTCATGGGGGTCCCTGTGAGGCGTCTAGAAGTCCTCTTGGGGGCCTCTTGGGGCTTCAATGGGGAGCCCATCAGGCTCAAGCCCAGTTGTTTCACGGATGGGTTAGAGAGACCCACATTTCTCGCTTCCTGCCAGAGCGCCATCGACATGGCGCAGTGGCCCAGCGGGGGATGTCCCGACTTCGCGTGTTGGGCTTGGAACCCGCAGGTTGCGACGGGCGACAGATTTGAGGAGATCATTACCGAGCTGCCCAAGTTTGATGCCGTTCTTCTCTCGGGAACGCAGGCGTCAGATTTCAGGCGGAATGTCGCAGGCAGCATGGTTCTGAGATCCCGTGTTGTTGGTCGCTTGTTTTTGAATGCACCGTACAGCCCGTCATCACCTGCGAATCATAGCTGCGGGTGTTCAATCACTCTCGGTGGCGGGATCCGTGAAGATTACATTATTCGAAGTTGGCCATCACCAGCGGAGGCCACAGGACGCGCTGTCTCAGCACGCTTTAGGAGAGGACGTCAGGATCTCTGCTTCATCCGCATGTACTGCCCATTAGTAGATTTAGGCTTTAGAATAAAAACAAGTATCTTGCCACTGTACGCATTTTGCGGAACTGGTTACGCGATGTTCTTGCTGCACTCTTTGCGCGATGTCTTCCCCTCCTGTTTTGCAATTGGCGCAGGCGTGACGGATAGCCGCAGTGCAGCAGTGGGCATCGGATCTGCGGAAAGCATGTCTGGTGGAGCAGGCGAGCTACCACGCAAGGCTCTGGAACAAAATCGGTTTTTTGCCCGGAATTCTGTACAGGGTCGCACATCACCGACATTCTATGTCGGGAACGGTAAGTGATCTCGCATAGACTACATGATCCACCCCAGGGACCTAGAGGAGATGATCATGAATTGTGCGGCGGTCCCGAGGCTTGGGGCGCAAACGGGGCCATCTCGGGGCCCTATTGGAGGAGATCGATCAAACGAGGGGGGTTCCTGATTCAGCGTTGCCCCCCCAGGAGGCCAACATGTGACACAATCTTAGTACAATCAATATGTTTGTCCTTCTCGCCGATACCCCTGAGAGAACCCTTCGACAACTCGCGAACCCCCCCGTCCAGAACCACGGGACAAGGTAGTGGGAGGGGTCAAGACGCCCTCCCCGCCCGCAAGCCGTCTCGCTCACTCCCACCCGCCCTCCCAACACATACGTAGCACCCGAGCCGGGCCCGAGCCTCAGCATATGCAGCAGTCGTCTTTGGATGGGCAGCTACTGGGGGCGCATCCGCCGCCGCCGCCGCCGCCGCCGCCGCCGCCCGCCGCCGCCGCCGCCGCCGCTGTCCGCCGCCGCCGCCGCCGCCGCCGCCGCCGCCGCCGCGCCGCCGCCGCCGGCCTCCGCCGCCGCCGCCGCCGCCGCCCCCGCCAGCCGCAATGCTCCGCCGCCGCCGCCGCTGCCGCCGCTAGCCGCCGCGCCGCGACCGCCGCCGCCGCCGCCGCCCCCGCCGCCGCCGCCGCCGCCACCGCCGCCGCCACCGCCACCGCCGCAGCCGCCGCACACGCCACCCTGGCCTCCGCCGCCGCCGCCGCCGCCGCCAAGTGTACTCCGTATTATTTTTGTTCACAGGGATGGTAGGGGGAGGCCGCACCGGGTTCGCTGCGCATGCTCCGAATTTGGAGGCAGAGTGTGGTTTGCATTATTGTTTTGCCGGGGATGGTGCTCACTCCCACCCGCCCTCCCAGCAGAAAAAACACCCGAGCCTCAGCATGTTCGGAACCAAAACCGAGCCCATGTGCGCGGCGCTGGAGCGAGATGCGCAACGCGTGCCAGGCGCGCCACGCGCGCCAGGCACCCGTGGAACCCGAGCGTGCCAGGTACGCCTGGTGCGCCACATTCGCCACGTGCTTCCGCGTGCGCCACGTGTGCCATATACTCCAGCCGCGCCAGGTGCACCACGTTCGGGGCACGCGCAGGGTGTTTCAAGTGCGCCTGTTCACTTGACAGCACACATCGGGAAACATGTTGGCCTCCACCATCCATGTCTCAAACCAATGCCCATTATTGTGTCTCGCGGGCTTGCGCACAGCAGGCCACACGCCATCACTTGACAATGATCGCGGGGTGGCCCCGCACGATCCAGGTTTAGCCGCGAGGTGCATATCGTATTGTTTTCGACATGGATGGTAGCCCTGCGCGTAGCAGGCAATATGCCGACACCCCCGCCGCCCCGAACCATATGCAGTTGTGGGCACCGTCGATGTATGCACCGCATTCGGAGGAGCTCCCTATGGATCCACGAGGCGTGTGAGGGGTGTGCCAAAATTTGTCTGGTGGGCGCATGCGAGAGCAGCCACTTGGGCCGTCGGTGGAATTCTCTATGGGACCACGCAACGCGTGAGATGTGTGCCGAGGTAGGTGCCTGCGAACACACGCGTTGGGGCCGTCGGTGGAGTTCCCCCTGGGGCCGCGAAACGTGTGATGGGTGTGCCGAAATGGGCGCGGTGGGCGTATGCGAACGCAGCCACTGGCGTCTTCGGTGGAGCTCCCTCTGAGGCCGCGAAACGCGTGAAGGTGTGAGTGCGTGGATGGTGCAAGCGGGCGGTGCCACTGGGACCTTCCTTGGAGCTCCCTATGGGACCACGAAGCGTGTGAGGGGTGTGACGAAATTCGTGTGGGTGACGCATGCGGGCGGTGGCACTCGGGCCTTCGGTGGAGTTCCCTATGAGGCCACGGAACGTGTGATGGGTGTGCCGAAATGGGCGTGGGTGACGCATGCGGGCGGTGGCACCCGAACATCCGTTGGAGCTCCCTATGGGACCACGAAGCGTGTGAAGGGTGTGACGACATGGGTGTGGGTGACGCATGCGGGCGGTGGCGTTGGGAGCCTCGGTGGAGCCCCTTTTGGGGCCACGAATTTTGTGAGATGTGTGACGGAATGTGCGTGGGTTACGCATGCGGGCGGTGGCGCTGGGGCCTTCGGTGGAGCTCCCTATGAGGCCACGAAACGTGTGATGGGTGTGCCGAGATGGGTGTGGGTGACGCATGCGGGCGGTGGGACTGTGGCCTCCCGTGAAGCTGCCTATTGGGCCACGACGCGCTGTTTTGGGTGAGTGAAGCGCAGGGAGGAAGGAGGAGGGGGAGGAGGAGGAGGGAAGAGGGAGGAGGGGGAGGAGGAGGAGTGACGCGGGGCGCTGTCTTTTCAAAACGAGGACCCAACACCACAGGATGGTCGGGAACAATTCAAAGTGCGAGCGGGCCTCGCGAACATGACTCCGGACTTTGCCCCAAAGTGGATTGTGTATTGTTTTTTGAAAAGGATGCTGGGGGGGTGCCCTCATGGTGTCCCCATTGGTCCTGGTTGGCTGCCGGTCGCCTGGGGGAGGGGATGCATGTCAATAGGGAACAGTGATCGAGGCCACCCCTTCGCCTGCACGCCGTCTCGCTCACTCCCGCCCGCCCTCCCCACACATAAGTAACATCCGAGGAGTCACAGCATATCTCTTAGGAGCGCCACGCATGCCACGTGCGCCACGGGTTCCAGGTGCACCAAGCACCTTGGAGGCCAAGGCGAGCCAGGCGCGCCAGGTGCGGCACGTGCTGCACGTTTAAGCAGTATTGCGGCCCCCCCCCCCCGTCCCTGTCAAAAACCAATGCAAGGTGGTCGCGGGGCGCCCGCGCATGCCCCAGATGTGGAGGCAAAATGTATTATGCATTGTATTTAGACAGGGAGGGTTTGCCTGCGCTCAGCGAGCAGTATGACGGCACCCCGGCCGTCCCAATCAAAAACCAATGCAAAGTAGTCGCGGGGCGCCCATGCACCCTCCAGATCCGGAGGCAAAGTGCATTTTGTGTTGTTTTCAGACAGGGCTGGTTTGCTTGCGCGCAGCGAGCAATATGTCGGCACCCCTTTTCCGTCCCTGTCAATAACCAATGCAAAGTGGTCGCGGGGCGCCCGCGCATGCTCAAGATGTAGAGGCAAGATGAAATCTGCATTGTTTTTAGACAGGGATGGTTTGCCTGCGCGCAGCGAACAATATGACGCCCCCCCCGTCCTTGTCAAAACCAAATCCAAAGTGGTCGCGGGGCGCCAGTGCATGCTCCAGATTTGGAGGCAAAGTGCATTCTGCATTTTTTTGTTGGGAGGGATGTTGGGGGGGGGGGGGGCATGTCTCGGGTTGGCCCACAGTCGGGTGGGGGAGGGGGTATATATTAGTAAGGAGCAGTGATCAAGCTACCCTCCTGGATAGCAGGCCGTCTAGCTCACTCGCCCAGGATCGCCACACATGCCACGCGTGCCACGGGCTCCACGTGCACCAGGCACCCTGGAGGCCCAAGCGTGCCAGGTGCGGCACATGCTCCACGTGCGCCAACTGTGCCACGTGCTCCAACCACGCCAGGTGCGCCAGCTACGGGGAACCAATAGGCACCCCAGGTGCCTTGGTCCCTGGCCCCGAGGATTTCAGGATCTTGAATCCCCATGAAACGACTTGTTGAGCATTTTGTGAGCAGGGCGGCTCTTCTAAGGAGCGCAAAACACAGATGGACAAAGTGTGGCATCATAAAGAGTCGTGCAACAAATGCGAGATCAAAGACAAGAGGGCCCCGCGCACAATCCAGATGTGGAGCCAAAATGTATGTTTGCATTGTATTGTAATAGAGATGCTTGGCCTGCGCGCATCAAACAATATGCCAGCATCCCCGCAGTGCCTGTCAAAAAGCCATGCAAAGTGGTCGCGGGGCGCCCGCGCATGCGTCAGATGTGGAGGCAGAGTGCGTGTTGCATTGTTTTTTCTACAAGGAATGATGGGGGGGGAGGGCTCATTGGTCCGGGTTGGCTGCGGGTCGCCCTGGGGAAGGGGTGCTCATTAATAGGAACACCCTTCCGCGCCCGCAAAATGTCTCGCTGATCCCCACCCGCCCTCCCAACAAATAAGTCGCATCTGGGCCTCAGCATGTTCAGAGGCCCTCTATGGATGGGCAGCTATTGGGAACCAGCACGGACTCCTTGTGCGCGACGGGGCGGGGTGCGCCACGCGTATCAAGCGCTCCAGCTGCGCCAGGCAGCCCTGGTGCCCAAGGGTGCTAGGTACGCCTCGCGCGCCAGATGCGTCACCTGCTCCACGTGCGCCATGTGTGCCGCATGGTGCAGCCGCGCCAGGTGCGCCACGTCCAGGGCAGGTTGGCCAGCCGCGCAGAGTGTGCCAGGTGCGCCCGCGCACGTGACAGCACACCTCGGGACGTGTCAGCACCCACCCTCTTATGCCGAAAACCAGAGTACCATCGGGGAGGTCATCATTGTGGGCCTGCGCACAGCAGGCAATCTGCCAGGACCAACGCGGCCCTGGGCAAACACCAATCTGCAGTGGTCGCGGGGTGGCCGCGCATGATCCCGATTCAGTCGCGAAGTGCATGCTGTTTTGTTTGCTTGGCAGGGATGGTGCCTTGCGCACCATCCCTGTCAAACAACGATACGCTATATTCGCGGGACCCACGAGCATGACCCAAGAGTTTGCCCTAAAGTGTGCTTTTTCGTATTGCTTTTAGACAAAGGAGGGGGGGGGTCGCGTTGGTCCTGGTTGGCTGTTGGTGGCCTGAGGGAGGGGGTGCTTGTCAATTGCGAACAATGGCCCATCCCAGAAGTGGAAGAGGTAAGAGGAAAGAAGAAACATTCTCAACCAACCACGCCCTAAAGGGCTGGTGGGAATTTGCTATGGGTTCTGACCTCTGGAGCGCAGATCTAACGCAGTCAGCTGCGGAATCTGGCCTCGGGAGCGCGAGTCTGCTGGACGTTGAAAGGCCCCTGGCCTCGGGAGCGTGAACCTGGCGTACTTTACCAAAAAAGATTATGACTGCGGGCGCGCTAACCTGGCGTAGTCTGCAAAGGAGTCGAGCCTCGGGGCGCGAACCTGCCGTAGTTTACAGATGCGTCTGGCCTCGAGCGCGAACCGAGCGCAATGTTACAAGGGATTCTGGCTCCGGGAGCGCGAGCCTGGTGTAATTTAATGCGTCCCAGGGCCCCCAGGGCATTCTGAGAACCCAGGGAGGCCGTGATGGCCAGGGCGGTGTTCGGCCTCCCCCCCTCGCGCACGCAGTAACAGTGTTCAGCAGGAAGCAGGGAGAACAACTATATTTCATGTTATGGAACAAATCCTGGAGAGGCGTGTCCAAGGGGGGTTGTCCAGGGGGGGTCGTCTGGATCCTTGTAGGGTTGTCCAAGGGGTTGTCCGGGCCGCGTTGTCTTGCCGGCACGTGCACATATCATTATCATACACACCATCAAAAGCATGGCACAGCCAGGGAAGCCCAGCTGGAAATGCCGCCTCTCTGTCCCCCCTTCCCCTCCTGTCCGTTCCTCGTCTCTCGTGTCCCGCTCCGCTCTTTGGTGCGGCCAGTTTCGAAAAATATCGAAACGTCCTCGCAGCTCAGGGCTCAGAGATGGTGCAAGCGAGGTGCTCCAGCCAGTTCCGCCTAAGGGATCCTCGCAACTCTGGGCTCCCGTGTTTTGACCTGCGGTGGTACAGCCAGTTTCGTCTGCGACATGCCGCGCACGATATTATGAAGCCCATTTCGCTTGAGACATCCCCGCAATTCTGAGCTCAGAGATGCCGCGCGAGAGGTGGTCCAGCCAGCTGTGCCTACGACGACGTCGCATTTCTAGGCTCCGAGATGCCGCGTACGAGGTTGTCCAGTTAGTTTCGCCTGGGATATTCTCGCATTTCTGGGCTCCGAGATACCGCGCACGAGTTTGTCCAGGCAGTTTTGCAGGAGACATCCTTGCGACTTCCTGGGCTCCGATATACTCTGGCATGAGGTGGTCTGGCCAGTTTCGCCTGAGACCTCCAGATGTTGAGCTCAAGGACACCAAACACGAAGTTGTAGACGTCCTCGCAACCCTGGGCTCAGAGGTGCTCTGACCGGAGGTGTTCCAGGCAGTTTTACACGAGACCATTCCACAATATGAGATGCCGAGTGAAAGCTGGTCTGGCCAGTTCCGCCTGAGACATCCTCACAACGCTCCTCGCTGACCACGTCCCGGATTGGGAACGGCAGTCTCGCCTCAGCGCTGGCCGAATCTCCTATTGGGTACGTATGGTGTTGCCGCTCGAGTGCCAGCAACATCCGTGATTGGGAATGGTGCTCTCGCTCGAGCTCTGGCTGCATCCCCGTCTGGGATTGGTGCTGTCGCCCTCGCGCTTGCCACATGCCGCATCGTTATGCGTGGTGCTCTCGCCCCAGCGCCGGCCACATTCCCTAAGTGGGCATTGTGCTGCCGCTCGAGCGCCAGCCACAATCGCATGCTGGGACGCTTATGGTATGCATCTGGGAGGGCGTTGTCCGGGGTGTCCGGGGATTGTCTGGGGATTTGTTGGGATGCGATGTTTCCCATTGGACGTGGTAACGTTGGAGATTGAGAAGTTGAAATTTCAATTGTGATTGGGACCAGGAAGCTCAGGACCTGTACCTGTTGCAGAACCCTGGCCCCGTTGGCGGTTCTACAAAAAACACATACATACATACGTACACACAGACAGACAGACATACATGTATGCATGCATACATGCACGCATATACGTACTTACATTCATATATACACATGTACAACATTACAAACCGACATATATACAGACCGATATGCGTGCATAACTACATACATGTATGCATGCATACCTACCTTAATTCATACATTATATATACACGTGCATACAAAGACATACATGCATACATACATACATACATGCATGCACACATTCAAACATACATACATACACACGTGCGTGTGTGCGCGCGTGGTTTCGTGCTTGCGTACGTACGTACGTACAGAAATACAGAAATGCAGACATACAGACATACATACATGCATGCATGCATACATACACCCACAGTCACACATATACGTGCATGCATACATACAGACATGCATACATACAGACATGCAGACATGCGTGCATGCATGCATACTTACATAAATGCATGCATACTTATATAGATAATTGTAAACATGTATGTATACACAACAGACATACATGCATGCATACATGCATGCATGCATGTATACCTGCATTCAAATGCACATGCATACACACATGCATACACGCCTACATACATTCACACATACATACATACATACATGCATGCATACATACATACATACATACATACATACATACATACATACATACACACACACATACATACATATATATATACATACATACATACATGCATGCATGCATGCAGGCATGCATGTATGCATGCATACATGCATACATACACACATACCTTTAGGTACACACTTACCTACACAATTATACACACATGTTCATACTTGCGTTCAGTCACCTGGCTCTTCACCTTGCCAGGGCCCACTTCTTTGCCGACCTCGCCCTCAGAGAACGTTCCTGCCAGGTCGCGGAGAGCTGGCCGGTGAGCTACGGGCACATCCTGCAGGTGGCCCTGGACGCCGAGGCGCTGCACGAGCCAGGGCCGGCAGCAGAATTCGGACGCCCCCGCCGCTGGCCCATGCCACCGCCCATTCAACGGACAAAGGGCAGTACCAGATATAGCTCGGAAGCTGAGAGGCTCCGGCGAGCGGGGTGAATATCGGGGAGCGATCAATAACATAATCATAGAAAAAATTCAGAGGTTCGCGTGGATTTCTCGGATCCGTGCTGGAGCCCCCCTGGCGGCGCCTCCGGCGCCGCCCTTAGCGCGCTCCGCGCGCCAGGGGGGAGGGGCCAGTGGCGTTATGGCGTTATTTCTTCTTCTAGTTCCAGCGAGCGGGGTGAATAGCTTCTCCTCATCATCGTCGTTATGTTTCTCCTCTTCCTCCTCCTCCCACTCCTCTCACCCCTCCCTTCCCCTGGTCCACCTGCCTCTCGGCTGCTGCTCGCTCGCCCCTGCCCCCTCCCCCTCTCGTCCGTCCCGCTTGCCGGAGCGCCTCAGGCAGCATGATCGAAGCGCGGCGCTGCCCTGTCGGCAGCCGCCACCCGGGACCTCCCGAGAGCACGCGCAGAGCTGGGACACCTGCCTCGGCTCGGAGACGCGCCTCCTCCTCCTCCTCCTCCTTCCTCCTCCTCCTCCTTCCTCCTCCTCCTCCTCCACCACCTCCTCCTCCACCACCTCCTCCTTTTCCTCCTCCTCCTGCCAACGCTGACGCACGTCCCAGGGCGGCCTCGGAGGGCCTCACGGCCTCGGCGGTCGGACCACGGCGCGCGCGGGGTTCCCGGCCGCGTTTCGTGGCAGACGCCCCCCTTGGGCGGCGAGGAGCCGTGGTGCTGCCAAGGTGACCGCCGGGTCCAGAGCCGAGGCTGTCTGCCCGGGTTGTTGAGCAGACCATGCTGCCCGCCACAAAAAGACATTGTACACAGACGCCCCCTGCTGGATTGCTCCTGGGCCTCAGGGGAGGGCGGCGGTGTACAAATCACCACTGAGAGCCAGCGACTTTCTAGACGCCGCCAGCCTCCCTGAAGGTACATGCAGCACAGTTCGTCGGAGGGCGTCTGTGTATACATTTCCGTGGCGTGTGTTGGGCTTCACACGGTGCCACTCTTCGCCCGTTGGCCCATGATCCATGAGCTCGCCCCTGGCGGCGCTGCCGCCGCAGGCACGGCGCCCCCGGCCGCGCGCCGCCTGCGGGTGCTGAGCACCGGCAACCACGCCTCCTACCCAGCGGCTGTCTTCAGCATGTGGCGGGCGCTCCTCCGCGGCTACGACTTCGAACTCGACGACCAGTCCTTCGACACCCGCTACTGCAAGATCACGGGCACCTGCTCCTCGGACCACCGCTTCGCCGCCATCGGTGAGCTGCTCCGTTCCACGGTGGTGGAGACGTGCGGAGGGCTCTTCCTGAAGGGATGGGAGGACATGGCAGCCCTGGCAGAGGCATTCTCCCAGTCTATCTCGGGCGGATCGGGCGGGGCACCCGGCCTGGAGGCGGACGTGCTGCTGTGCACGCACCCGCCCTACTCCTGCCGGCTCTTTTGGCCACTGGTCTTGGACCACAGCAAGCCGTTGCTAGGCTTCTTCGGCGGTACGCTGGAGGCCCACGTACCCTCCTCCGGCGCCGAGGCTTGGTTGCGAGGAGGAGGAGGAGGAGGAGGAGGAAGAAGAGGACGGAGGACGACGGAGGGGCCCGCAATCTTGTCGTTCGTCGAGCGCCCAGGCGTGGCTGCACGACTTCCTGGAGATGTCCCGGCACCCGCGCGTGCAGTTCGCCGCCATCTCGCCGTTCCTTGCGGAAAAGATGAGGTTCCAGACAGGTGCCGACGTCCCGGTGGCCCGTGGGTTCGGCTTCCACGTGATCGAGCAGGCCGGCTGCGCGCACGAGCGACGCTTCGCCAGAGTGACCTTTGGGGGAGCGGCTTTCCGGGGGAGCCGCGCGCCTCGAGCCAGGCGCGCGGGCCGCTGCTTTCGCACCGCACCGTTGCGAGCGGCAGGCCGCGCGGCAAAGGTCGCTCTTGCCTCCAGCCACTCGTGGCGTGCAGCAGAGCACAGGGCATCGCTTACTTCCCGAGCCGGCCAGAGGTGCTGGTGTGGAAGAACAGCGGCGAGTGCGAGGACAACCAGGCCGCATTCGACGGCCTGCTGGAGAGGCTTGCGGCGGAGGCAGGGGGTGGCGGCCCGGCGCTGCGCTTCCAGCACCTGCGGGCTCTGCGAGCGGCGGGCGACGCTTCTTACAGCACTATCGCATCCTTCCGAGCGGTGGTGTTCGTTCCCTATGAGGTCTTGCTCATGACGTTCTACGAGCTGTACCACGTTGCCATCCCCATGTTCATACCCACTCTAGAGCTTGCGAGTTTCTTCTTGTACCGCGGCCCTGTCACCTACCCTCACTGTGGCATGTTTTTGGAGGGGAAGGACGACAGCGAGGAGGTGGTGGGGGACTTCGTACCTCGGCCTAGAGCTCCTTACTCGCCCTTCGCGCGGGATAGAATCACGGACCGCGTGGCGTGGCTGGAGGCGTACACGGACTGGTACCGCTTCCCACACATCTCAGGAGCGGAAGCCAGCACTCTGGGAGGGGGGGGGCGGGGTGTGGGGGGGGCGGGGGGGGGGCGAATTGTTGATACTTCGAGTATTCCCAGCAACCCATCTGGAACGACTCCCAGGTGGGATGTCGTGATAAGGGAAGTGTCTTGGTAAGAGAAGTGGAGGAGCATTGGTGAAACAAAAACATGGGACGTAAGTCAAACCGAAGGAAGTATCAGTCCAAGCAGCTCTCTATAAAGGCCAGCTTGGAGCCTTAAATCTGGCGGACGGGGTCAGATTGGAACGCTGTTGGGTGTTTTGTCTTGGGCCCACTGGGGGTAAACAGGGGTAAAGTTGCGTCGTCCTGTTGGAGCACAAATCGTTGCATATTGGGGCTCTTGGTGTGCTTTCAGGCGCCGTGTGTGACCCTGCTGGGGCCTTCTTGGAGCCTGCTGGGTCGTCCAGGGGCCCTCTTGAGGCCTCCGATCCGAAGCGGAAACGACGAAGAGGGCGGACAGTATTCACATCGTGTCATCCCAGAGGCAGTCTTGGGGCTACCTGGGGCCGTCTTGGAGGCATCGACGGCCGAGAGGAAGGAGCGGGCGGAGGGGCCCCACCGCTCCCCGTGGTGAAAGAGTTGGGATGCAACTCCTGGGAGGTCAAAATCTGCTTCGGCGCTAGTATTTTCGCGGTCGGTCACTTGCTTGAACGGGGCTTGTGTGCCTAATCCGGTTTAATCCCGGGTTCAACTTGGCTAAAGTTGGCTTAGTCCCGGGCTTCAACTGGCCGAATCTGGTGAAGTGGCCCTCTCATCGGGCTGAGTCACCCTTCATCGTTCCAGCGAAGGCCTCCCAGGAGTTGCCTCCTAAGAAGAGGGGGTTGCATGGGACCAGCTGGCACCTCCAGCGCCCCAGGTCCAGAGGGCTGGTGGGACCAGGGACCGGCCAGGGGAGTCTAGGCCTCCTAGATGGGGTCCGAGGAGTAGATGGGGTCGGAGGATCGCGCCGCATCGCCGATGCGTCGACGATGCGGCTCGATGTGGCCGACGTCGCCGATGCACCGCCAACGTCGACGATGCGTTGCCGGTGCATCCCCGATGCATCGCCGATGCATCGCCGACGCATCGTCGAGGCATCGGCGATGCGGCGCGATCCTCGGGCCCCATCTACTCCGATCCTATCTAGGAAGCCTCTACAGTGGAGGCCCATGCCAAGAAACAACTTGCCTGCCTCCAGGGCTCCCTGGGTTTCTTGGGCTTCGATGGTTTTGCTATGGAAGGCGTGACGTTCCCACGCCAAAAACCAATGGACGTCCTGAGTCTCAGGGTTGGGATGATTGTGGAATGTTTCTTGCGGGCTGGCCTCCATTGCATGGTGGGACCAGGAACAGGCCAGGGGAGAGTGCGGCTCTTTGGCTCCTGGGACCTCACGCGATTTGCCTCGCTCGGGCAGCTGGTCGGCGGCCTGCGCGGGACCAACTTGCAGGCGGCCAGCGGCTCCCCTTCCGGCGACACCTCCTCCCTCAGCGCCTCCTGCAGCTGCCTCGCCGCTCCTCCTCCAGCTCCTCCAGCCCCTCTTCCTCCAGCGTCTCTTGATTCAGCTCAGACCCCTCCTCCTCCTCCTCCTCCTCCTCCTCCTCCTCCTCCTCCTCCTCCTCCTCCTCCTCCTTCCTCCTCCTCCTCCTCCTCCTCCTCCTCCTCCTCCTCCTCCTCCTCCTCCTCCTCCTCCTCCTCCTCCGCCTGCCAGGCGGCCAGCGCGGCCATGCGGCTGGAGACTGAGGGATCGCTTGCAGAGGCGACGGCCTTCTGGCAGGCCGCGCTCCGCAAGGTGCTTGAGGGGGGCGGACCCACTGTGCCCGCGCAAAAGTCGCCCTATTCCTTCACTTGTTCCCCCTCCGCGTAGTCAAGGTCTGACTGGAGAAATCTACAGAACCGACTGAAGCCCATGTTGTACGCAAGCTGTGATGCTCTTGTTGTGGGCCGAGGGCAGCCTAAGGATCACCGAGCCCATCTACCATCTCGAACGCATCCCTGATCTGGACGCTCGGATTGTAGTTGCGCCAGCTCATGACGATGCCAGGGCGAGGGGTACCCTAGCTCCGTGTGCCTTCGTCTGGTTCCCATACCACATGCGCGCTCACCGGATCATGTCGCTGTGCTGGGTACCACCGCTCATCGTTCCTTGCGCGTTTGAGTATTTATCTCTCTCTCTCTCTCTTTCTCAGGCCACGGTCCACTTTATGAGTTTGCCTATTGCAGGTTTGCTCTTGGGGTACTCCCTGGTTTGCCTGGCGACTCTTTGAATCGCATGGCGGATGAGGTTGAATGGATCGTGTGGCGGTATAGGAAAATCGTTTCCTGCGCTTGCGCTCAGAATCCTTACGCAGTTGTAGCCCTCTGCTAAAGCATCCCAGGAAGCCGCCGTCTGCGACCCAGCGGACAGGCCGTCGGTGCAGCCCCGCCCACCCTGAGCCAGGGGGGGGGGGGAACACTGACACAAATAGACATCGATCCCCATGAAAACATTGAGACATGTGGGAAGTGGAGGGGAAGTGTACATCCAGAACGCATCAAACGAGATGGGGAATCCATCCTGGGAGCTGTGTCTGTTCGTGTGCCCCTGGGCCTTTCTGCTGAGCGCGACTGACGGCGTGGAGCTTCCCATCGGAGACCAACGTGGGCGTGCCGATGGCCGAGTTCTTCGGGCGGTTGGTATTAAATCGGGCACGTCCCTCTACATAAGGAAAATTCAAAAATAGTCTTAAAATAGTATGGGGGCGATTGCTTTGTTCTTTCAAACTATCTTTGATCATTCCCAACCATCCTGTGGTGTTCGGTCCTCGTTTTGAATACATGGTCCCCGCGTCCCTCCTCTTCACCTCTCGTCTCCTGTTTTCCTCTCCTCTCCTCCCTCCCCTCTCCGCTCGTCACCCTCTCACTCTGGCACTCCCCTCACACGCTTCATGGCCCCATAGGGAGATCCACCTAAGGTCCCAGTGGCGCAGTTCGCATGGCGGCGCCGCCCCATTTTGGCACACCCCTCACACGCTTCGTGGCCCCATGGGGAGCTCCACCTAAGGTCCCAGTGGTGCAGTTCGCATGGCGGCGCCGCCCCCTTCTGCCACATCCCCCGCACGCTTCGTGGCCCCATAGGGAGCTTTATCTAATGTCCCAGTGGCGCAGTTCGCATGGCGGCGCCGCCCCATTTTGGCACACCTCTCACACGTTTTCGTTGCCCCATGGGGAGCTGCACCTATGGTCCCAGCGGTGCAGTTCGCATGGCGGCGCCGCCACAGTTTGGCACACCCCTCGCACGCTTCGTGGCCCCATAGAGAGTTCAATCTAAGGTCCCAGTGGCGCATTTTGGCTCAAGCGACCGCACGCCGCGCCTCCGCCTGCGCGGCGACAGCTGGTGTGGACGGGGCGGCCCTGGTGGCTGCCGCGGTCCGCGCGGTCGTCGAGGCCAAGGCGCCACGGCGAACGGTGGCTGCGGTGGCGCGGGGCGCGGTTGCGGTGGCCCTTCGGGCCGCGGCACCCCCGCAGCCGCCTGCGGCCGCCAGCGCTTGTGCGTCTGGCCGTACAGATGGCGCATCGGATGCGAAGCAGGAGTCGCGGCGGCGGCGCCGCGCTCGTCTCGTTGAAGGGCGCCGTGCTGATCGTGATGCTGTTCCTGGAGCCGGTCGCGCCGGCATGCCTGCCCCTCTTGAGGGCGGCTCTAGTGGCGATGCTCCCATGTTCAACGGCTTCGGCGATAGCACCGGGATCAGCGACGATTCCTGGGCCGACAGCCTGCCCGTCCGCGGGCCGCGTCGACCTAGGAGGAGATGCGAGGGCATGATCATCGCGGTGGTGGTTGCTGCTGGCGCGGGCGGTTCGGGCTCCGGTTCGGCCGCTGCGACGGCCGCGCCTGCAGACGCGGCGCTGGGCCTCGTGGGCGCCTCTGGCGGGGCGGCGGCGGCGGAGGCGGCGGATCCAGCTCGCGGAGCTGGAAGAGCTGCTGGTGCTGCGGGGTGCGGCCTCGGGAGCGACGGCCCGGCCGACGGAGCCGCGCGGCGGCGGCGCGGGCCCAGGCGTCCTCTGGCGAAGCCGGCGGCGGAGCTGGGCGCGGCGCTCGCGGTGGCGGTGCCTGCTGCTGGCGGAGCTGCGGCCTCGGAGGTCGGCCCTGAGGGGGTCTTCGCGGTTACCGACGGCCTCCTCCGCCAGGCGGCTAACTACGAGCCACGGCTCAGCGAGCAGCTTCGGCTGATGCTGGAATCCGTGAGCTGGAGGCCTGCCAGCGCCCTTTAGCCCGCGCTCGCGGGTGGCGCGCCTAGCGCCTGGTGGCCCCCTCCGCCTTTGGCTCCTGAGGGAATGGTTTCGGTGGACTGCCCTCTTTGGAGGGTGGCACAGCCTGGAGGCTGCCCCGCGGGGGTGCCCCAGGTGATGCCGCAGACTTCAGTAGAGCAGTCCGAGCATTCTTCAGCCTCGGCCTCTGCGGTAGCGGCGGGGTCAAGGGGAGCGCCTTGGGTGGTCTGGCCCCGTTTGGGGCTAGCACGGCCAGGTGGGCGCCCCGCGCGGGCGCCCCTGGTGACAGCGCGCACCGCGGAGCCACCCCGGGACCGAGCCCGCGCCGCGCGAGCCTGGAGCACATATGTGTATATATATATATAAGTAATTAATTAATAAAATAAATAAATAAATAAATAAATAAATAATATAGCGGCGCAGTTCGCATGGCGACGCCGCCCCATGTTGGCACGCATCTTACACGCTTCGCGGCCCCATAGGGAGCTCCACCTAAGGTCCCAGTTGTGCAGTTCGCATGGCGGCGCCGCCCCCTTCTGCCACACACCCCGCGCGCTTCGTGGCCCCATAGGGAGCCCTTCCTAAGGGCCCCAGTGGCGCAGTTCGCATGGCGGCGCCGCCCCACGTTGGCAAACCCTTCGCGCGTTTACACGGCCCCACAGGGGGCTCCACCTGAGGTCCCGAGGCTTGACATGGGGAGCGTCCTGCCTGAGCAGCGCCTTCTCTCGACTGCCCAACTGTTTGGCTTCGCGCCGCGGGCGACCCGCGCGCGTCGCTGGGGCCCTCTCGGGGCGACCAGCGCACGTCGCGGGAACTCCGCGCGGCGCTCTGCCCAGCGCCTCGCTCGCCCGTCGTCGCTGTGCCCAGCGGTCAGACCCTTGCCCGCCATAAG